TTTTTTTTTTTTTTTTTGAAATTTGTTTATCATATTTTAAAGGAGGAAAAATTTAAAATATTTTGGAAATCCTATATTTTCTAGTAAAATTTTAGGTCGGACTATTTAAGGTAAATCTTTAATCCCTTTAAATATTAATAGATATAAATATAAATGCATTCATAGATGTTTTGGTATCTGTTTAATATTAAATAATCAATGTATAATATTTTTAATGTGGTATATAAATAGTGAAATTCAATGAAATGCGTTAATTTATTTAGGAAATGTTCCATTTTTAGCTATAAAGGTTTTACTAAATTTGTCCAAAATACTGTAATTTTGAATTTTAATGGTTCAAGCTTTAGATTTTTTTTAAGAAATAAATAAATTAATGGTAATATTTATTGATGAATGTAATTACATAGTTTAACCCTCGCAAGTTTGCTCTCCTTTTTTTTTTTAGAGCAGAGCATGCAACAGAATCGATAAAGACGGTCAAGTTTATAAAATTGATAAAGATTTCAACTAATAGGTAAACACAAATATAAGATTTTCAACATATTAAGAAGTTAAAAAGCAAAAAAAAAGTGAAAAAGAAATTAAAAGAGAAATAGTGATATAGGATATTATACCAGACCGGGTTAATGGATAAAGCGAATACATATTGGAGGATAAGCCCACTAAGACATCTAAGCATAATGATATGGGCAAAGCCCAACTTGGGCCAAAAGGTATACTCCCCTATAAAAGGGGGCCAAGGTATCTCATTCTCTGATTCTCTACTCATTCCATACTACACTATCTCTCTCTTGATCTGAGCACTGACTTAGGCATCGGAGGCCCGACGCCGGGGCCACCCCCGGCGTTGGGTTCTGCAGGTACGGAGCGTTTGAGTTGAAGGAGTCGGGTAAAATTCATTACACTCGTATTATTGGGCCGTCTGCAGGGCCCGTCAAAAAGTCAAGCCGAGTTCCGACTAAAAGAATTCAAAAAAAAAAATATATATATATATATATATATATATATATATATAATATACCTCCGCCGTCGGCCGCCGGAAAACGTGCTCCGATCGGAAAATTGTTTACATCATTGAAAAGATCTCTTCGAGGTGAATCTTCCCTTATAATTTCAATCAAAAATTCCTTCGGGAAGACATTCAATTTAGCGGTCAAAGTTTTCAGATCTAGCATAAAATCGGTCAAAATCGGGCATTCAAATGCATTTTCTCAACGATCCGGGAAGGCTATGGAAAATTCGAGGGTACCACCGGAACCCTCTCGACGAGACGAGTTTCCAGGTCTACACCTTCGCCGGACGCCGACGTCCGCCGCCGTCGGCCGCCACCTCCTCTGCCGCCGACCGCCACAAAAAATCCTTCGATCGGAAAAACTCTTACACCATCGCGAAGCTCTCCTCATGCTCGTTCTACCCTTAAAATTTGGAGCAAAAAATCCATCCGGAAGGCCGTCAATTGATCGGTCAAAGTTCTTAGATCTAGAGATAAAAAGGTCAAAATCCGGTCATCTTCCTCTATTTTCTGGCGATTTCTGGAAAATTACGCCAAACCAAGGACACCATCAGGACCGCCTTGTCAAGGCGCGCGCATGACCGGTCATTTTCGCCCGAGCCGGTGTTCGATTTTTTCCGGCAGCAACTATTTTTCTTCCCGGCAAAGTCACGGTTCTGTTCGCGCAGGGACCAGCTCACCTGATGTTGGTCCGAGCAGCCCAACATGTCCAGCACGCTCCACAGCCCAGCAGCATAGCAAGCAGCCCAATCGGCGAGGCCCAGTACAATTTTAATCTGCGGCCGAGCAGCAGTTGACCGTGACCCAATAGAGGAGCCCCACGAAAAACCCCTTCAGCCCAGCAACATGCGCGCGGGCCGTATTTGGCCATCGAAGCCCGCGCGCATCACAGATTTCAGCCCGCGCTCAGCCCGCGTCAAGCCCGCGCTCAGCCCGCGTCAAGCCCGCTTTTCCCCTCAGCAATCGGCCCGCGTGAATCCGAATTCAGCCCGCGAAAGGCCCGCGTGCTGCCAAGCCCCAACAACGCGGCCCAACCGTCATTTTCACAGCCCAGCTCCTGGTATCCGCGGCCCAACTGCATGTATTTGCACCCCAACGAGTTTTTGGTGGCCCAGTGAGCAAATCCAGCCCCTCCAGCGGCCCAAAATGATACAAACAACCCTATTTTCTGCCAAAACATAATTCGGGATGAAAAAGGCGAACGAGAAGGTAATTTTGGATAGCATTATCATAACGAAGGTATTGAGTGGATTTAAATTTTGGAGACTTGAAGATTTAATTGACTTGATTGTGGGATTATTTAAATTGTTCGTGATAATATTTGATTTATTCATGGAGAATTATTTGCTCTACGCGTGTTGGATTATATGGTTTACTCGTGGATTATATGGGTTATTCGAGGATTTATTTGATTCGCTCATGGAGATATATGACTCATTCGTGGTAATATTTGATTTATTCGTGGAGGATTACTTCATTCGCTCGCGTTGAATTATATGTCTTATTCGTGGAAAAATACTTGATGTGATCGTAACTATTTAATTGTTCGCGATGATATTTGATTTGCTCGAGCGATTAGTGGATTTACTTGTGGATATATTTGATTTGATCGAGCGATTAGTGGATTTACTTGTGGATATATTTGCTTTGCTCGAGCGATTAGTGGATTTATTTGTGGATATATTTGATTTGCTCGAGCGATTATTAGATTTATTTGTGGATGATTATTTGATTTGTTCGAGCAATTATTGGATTTATTTTTGGAGTATTATTGAATATATTGGATTTGTTCGGGATATATTTGATTTGGTCGAGGAAATACTATTTGGAGTATTCGTGGAGAATTATGTGATCTATTCATAGAGATTATTTGATTTGTTCATGGCGATGATTGATTTGTTCGAGGAGATATTATTTGATTTGATCGTGGATATACTGAATTTATTCGGAGATACATTTGATTTGCTCATGGAGAAATTGTGTGATTTATCCGTGGATATTATCTGATTTGGTCGATGAGAGGATTATTTGGTTTATTCGTGATAATATTATGGGATTTATTCATGGATTATATGGTTTATTCGAGGAGAATATTTGATTTATGCATGGAGGATCATTTAATTTGCTCGTGTTGATTATGTGATTTATTCGTGGAATTACTTGGTTTAACCAAGGGGAATTATGCGATTTATTCGTGGAGATGTTTTGATTTGTTCGAGGAAATGATGATGTTTTATATAGGATCTCTTGTTTTTCTCGAGCGGACAAGGACAAAATGGATGACATGAACATAAAATGTCTAAT